ACTTTTGGGCACTTCCACTTGTCCTGCACGAGACGACACTGGCTCTAAAGGGTCTCAGTCCCAGAACAGGAACAGTCAATGCTGTCAGGGCCTACAACGCTGGTTCCCATAGGGTCCTGGTCCTGACCTCTAGGCTCATAGTGTTTAATATATGCCTTCAGAGAAGTTGTCTCATATGTATTTTTTTATTTCATTTAGACAATGACTTTATTCCAGAATATTCTTCTACTTTGTTTTTCCTACTGAATAGAGTATGTTTCAGAAATATTCCATTGGAATCATTTTTTTTAAAGATTTTCCTTTCTTGGCTGTCTTTATTACAAAAAAGCTTAGACTGGGGAAAAAAGGACCTTCAGGGGCTTGACTGAAAGAACATAAAAACCTCAGGTTTAGTTTATAGATCTCAAAGGCAATTGTTGTTGAGACTGCAGTTTGCTTCAAGGCCTTTCGGGAAGGTGATTTTCCTGTTAAAAAAAACAAACAGGAGTTTGCTTGGTGATAAATTCAGGCAGTGTGTGGGCTGATTAGATAATGGAGTAGGCAATCAATGCATTAGTCTCCCAGGATGACTACTGCAGTGGAAGGAAGCAGACTTTTAGGCAAGGTAGCTCCAGCATGGGTGTCTGTGTTGTGGATTCAGTCCATGATGGCACCAGACAACAATGTTATTTTTGATGCCTCTTGAACGACTTCTAGACTCCTAGTTTCTTTTCCTTCTACCACCTCCACTCAAACATTCCAGACTGGCCTTGAAATCCTTGGGTAGCTTCTTGAACTTTTGAGCTTAGATCTTCACCTCCCAATAGCAGGAGTTATAAGCGTTTACCACCTTGCTCAGCTAAGTAAGAGTGCATCATACATACTCTTCCTACCTTTTCCCGTTTCCTTGACTGTTTAGTGAAGATGGCAACGGCTATTGAGATCAGACTGTGCCCTACTCTAAGTTACTCTATATTGTGGAAAACAGTGGGGTTTCAGGCTGTGCCTTGCTTTGGGAGATTCCGTCTGAGGATGGAGGATGATTTTCCAACTTGGAGTACCTATAAAAAAAAAAACACCATCTATCCTACACCACCCACAAGGCATAGGCTGATAAATAACATTCCTAAAAGTAGAAAAAGTGCTGTCCTAATGACTTTATCAAGCACAGTGGAACTATAGGAAGACATGGGCATATTCAAATCACATCAGAATAACCAGGCCCAAGAATTTATTTGACACACCAGACTGAGGAAAGGTCACAGTGCCTGGACAGCATAAAGAGGAAGACACTTAACACTGATGGTGGTGGCCCCATAGACATGTCCCACCTGGTGTGTGTGTGTCTGTGTGAAATTAAGATTGGAATAAAATGGCCAGTATCAAGGAAAGAAGGACTTGGTGACTGTTGTCAACCAACCACCAAAATAAATAAATAAATAAATAAAGTATTGTCAGTCAATAAATTCCAACATCAGGGAAAGATAAAATCTTCTCCATTTATGTTTCTAACATGGCATGCTCATGACTGTACATTGCATATTGCATTTATTCTCAATGAGTTTGCAAGAATAAATACACCTGGTCTACGTAAGCCAGGCAAGTGCACGAGTCACAGATGTCTGTTCTAGATAACGGCAAATAGTGGGCACTATAGGTGAGAGGGGAATAAGTTACACACTCTCTACCTTTCCTCCTTTCAACACTTAGCCACGTCCGTAGGAGGTGTCTATGTATCACTCACAGCCCTTCTGCATGAGTTGAAGCCCTCTACATTTGAGTTATGTCCTGTGTTTAGAACAGCTGGCCCTGCTGTGGCTTTTTAGTAACCCTGTGGCCTCTTCAAAATCACCTCCGCCATTTCCATGACCCTTTCATGTAGCAGTTATGAACACCAATGTTGCTTTGTGGGATTGACTTGAGGTTTTCTAAGTAACTAAACTTTTTTTTTCTTGTATCCTCAGTCACAGCCTGATGAAGGTCATTAGCCTGGACCTCCCATCATCTAGTTCTGGTGTTTCTGAAACTCAGGGAAGAGAACAGAAAGACAGGTGGTGCACAGGTCTATACTGACTTCTATTTGTATCTCAGTGACCAAAGCAATTCATGTGACTCATCTACTCCCAAGCACAGTATGGCGGCTGGGGAAAGAACTAGAAATGTGCGCTCACAGCACTAAGGAGGGAGCGGCTCTTTCCTCCCTTCCTATGGTTTTTACTGGATGAAGAAGACTTGGAGCAGATGCTGTAAACTAAGTGGTGTGGGAGAATTGTCTGTATTCTATCAATCATGTTTTAAATAAACGCTGATTGGCCAGGCTGGAGGTATAGGCGGGAAAAACAGACAGGAAGTGGAAATGATACAAGGAGAGTAGGAGAATTCTGGGGAGGAAGCTGATTCCTCGCACTCCTGCCCAGACCACGAAGCAGCAGGATGTGAGCTGCCCCACTGAAAAAGGTACTGAGCCACATGGCTAACATAGATCAGAAAAATGGGTTAATCAAGAGGTGAGAGTTAGCCAGTAAGAAGCCTGACCTAACGGGCCAATCAGCTTTATAACTTACAGAGATCTGTGTGGTTGATTTTGTCTGGGACTTGTGGCAGTGGGGAACCGGGTGGAACAGATACCCAAACAAGCCTAGCCCCTCGTGTTACAACTAAGCCTCCTAGTTGGTTTCAGGACACTTGGCGCCTGCACTCTTGATGGATCAAGTCCAGAAGGAGCAATTGGTTTTCCATTCTTTCTTTTCTAGCTTCTTTTAGAAATGGAGGTCTTTACCCAGGGATGGGGTGGGCAGGAGTAGGATGGGTCTGTGGTTTTCTTAGCCTCTAGCAGTTAATATTCAACAAATGAAAGATATTCGTGCATGTAATTTAAGAGGCAAGTGGTCAGGCATAGGATATAGCTCAGTTGGTAGAGGGCTTGCCTAGTACACATGAAGCTCTGGATTCTAGTTCAAGCCTCAGTATCTGTAATTCCAGTATTCGGGAGGCAGAGGTAGGAAGATCAGAAGTTCCACGTCATTCTTAGCTACATAGTGAGTTTGAGATCAATGTGAGCTGCTTGGACATTTGTTCATTTCTCCACAGAGCTTAATAAGTTGGTAGACTACCTAGCACTATGATGTACTGAGGTGGACAAGGAGACCCACAAGCAGGCCAGGGTGGTTCATCCTGGCCTCCAAGGAGAAAACACAGGTCCTCTTGCAGCACTGGGCCCTTGGGTACTATTATGGTGAACAAATATATGGTATGGTATGGAAAAGAGGGAGAGAACGGTTTGAGTCCTGTGGACAGAGGCTTACCTGAAGAGGTGAAACGGTGAGGAACAAGCTGAGGTGGGTGGCTTAATTACCACCTAGGGCTAAGGTGTCATCTGGGCCTGGGATGCTGCTGTGGCCAATGTCTGGGTTTATGGCCCTATTGTAGCCACAGTCTGTGTTGATGTCCATGGCTCCTGATGCCACTGAAGGCTGAGAGGACATGGCTGTACAGAGTTGGCCCCACCTCTCAATGGCTGCAAGACTTGAGAACTGGTCCTGTCCCTCACAGCCTGAAGCACTGGCGAGAGCAGGTTTTACATCTTGCCTGGACAGCACAATAGAGCTGACCCTGTTTGTGGGGGGATGGGGGCATGGGCGAAGGTACGAGACTGGGATAGCTGGTCCCATCTCCCTCGACTGCCATGAGGTGGCACGGGTGAGGGAAAAATGCCCTTCTCCCTCAATGTTTCTTCCACATTGCATACTCCAGGCTAGTTGCAACACTAGCTTCTGGGTGATTCTCCTGTTTCTGCCTCCCAGCTTGCTGCATAAGTGGAATCATTCCACATTCAGCTTTTTACACAGGTTCCACACATGAATGGAGCTTGGGTCCCTGCTTGTGTGCAGGTAATACCTTTACCTGGTGAGCTATCCTAATTTGGTTCTAAAGTATGTTTTGTTTTTGACACATCATATCTGTTAACTATTTAAGGGGTATAACATAATATAGTTCAGTATGTGTGTAAGTATGTACTGACTGATTTGGGATAATTGTATTTCTATGTTCTCAAATATTTATTATTTTTATGGGTTGGAAACATTTATACTTTTCCAGCTATCTTGAACTACATCATAAACTTATAGATTGTAGTCAACTTACTGTGTTATAGAACATGAGAATTAATTTCTCTTTTGTTCTGGGACCCATTATCTAGTCTCTCTAAGTGACATTTGGGTATGGTAGAGGTGTGGGGGAGGAATGGTTTGTGTGGATCTTCATCTAGAGGGTCTGTTAGCTAACTTTTCTCACCACTGAGACCAAAATACCTGACAAAAACAACGTAAGGGAAGAAAAAGGTTATTTTGGCTCCTGGTTTCTAAAGGTTACAGTCCATCATGATATGAAAGGTGTGGCAGAGCAGCAACATGGTGGCAGGAAGCTGGACCAGTTTCTGGCATGGTAACTAGCCCAGGAAGCTGAGAACTTGGGTTGGGTCAGAAAATGTATAGCCTTCAAGTCTACCCCCACTGAGCTACCTCCATGAGGTTGGCCCCACGTTCCACATGTACCACAACCCTCCAAAAGAGCATCGCGACCTAGGGACCAGAGGTCCAAACACATGAGCCGATGAGGGACATTTTACATTTCAATCAAATCAGAGAGTTTTGTGTAAGCAAGGGTGGGTAGGGAGCTATTGAAAAAGTCTCGATTTGAAACAGACAGTAGCATTTGGACAGTATGGAGGTTAGAATGAGAATGGTCCCCCAAAGCTCATATGCTTGAATACTTGGTTCCCCGGTTAGTGCCACTGTTTGGGAAGGATTAGAAGGTAAGGTCTTGTTGGAGGAGGTGTGTCACTAGGGTAGGCTTTAAGGTTTGAGGAGCTCACACCAGGCCCAGTTTTGCTCACTCTTTATCTGCAGTTTGTGGATCAGATGTGAGCTCTCAGCTATGTAACCAGCACCGTGGCTGCTTACCTGCTGCTTCCCTCCCCGCCAGGATGATCACGGACTAGCAACGTGAAACTGTAAGCAAGCCCCCAGTGAAATGCTTCCTTTAATAAAATTCTTGATCATGGTGATTCCTCAGAGTAATAGAACAATAACTAAGGCAGGTAGAGAGGCAGGGGTGTGATCGAAGATGTAGGCAGCAAGATTTCTGATGGGTTGAGTGGCTGAAACACCTAGAAAGATGGAGTTGGCATTTCTTCCCCATCTCTCACATCTATCTTCTGTCCTGTTACACTGCCGCTTTCACTGTAGGTCCCATTGATTCTCAGTGTTGTTATTGCTTTCAGGCAGATCATTGTGGGAAATGGGTTAGTTCAGTTCGGGCCTTTCTGAAGGCTTAGCAGCTGCTCACAAAGTCCAAAGAATAACACAGAAAACCTGCTCCAGTTCAAATGTGACTTGTCTCCTCTGCAATTCAGTCGGAAACTAATCCTTCATATGAGATATTAAGAGACATTGGAACCTTAAAGAGGTGGTTAGGAGTCTGAATGGATTAGATCATGCAAGTCTACTCTAAACCCAGCTTAGCTAGGTCTCATGTACATTCACTGTGCTTCACCATGTGGGCCCATCACTGCTTCAGGACTCTGCCAGCAAGAGTATTTATTACCCAATTTCCAGTTCCTGGCAAACACTAACTCATTTTCTATCTCAGTGGATTTGCCTACTTTCAACATTTCATATCAATGGAATCATTCAGCGTGTGTGTGTGTGTGTGTGTGTGTGTGTGTGTGTTCTATCTTGCTTCTTTTTATTGACATAACAGTTTTGAAGTTTTTGTTCCAGACACTTATCTTCCCAGTACTGGGTCTTATGTTACCCAGTTGGCCCTCTTTCCTCTCCATCTTTGTAGTCATCCTAAATGGTTTATTCTACTTCATGAAATCCACCCCCATAAATAGACCCACAGTGGATGAGTTTCTGCCTTGACCTCAGACTTCTCTTTCAGTTTTTCACCAAATGCCTATCCGAACCACTCTGCAACCCCAGGCAGTGGAGACAAGAGACTCAGTCACCCATGCGAGAAAGCTCGGGCTCCCTCAAATCTTTTCGTCCATCTGCAGATGGAAAGTGTAACCTAGGGGCAAGAGCTCAGAGACTCAAAACCCAGATCAATCTTCACTGCTGATGTGGCCTCATTTGCCGGCTTAGGGCCACTTCCTCTGAGTTCATTTCTCTATCTGGGCAATAAAGAATTGACTTTCAGAGGTGTGCTAGGATCGAATCATGTAGTGTATATGAATTGCTCAGCACATAGCATCACCAATCAATCACCCACTTCCTATATCAATTTCCTGTTTGCCCCTTCTGGTAGACTGCCACAAATGCAATGACTTAAGTCACAGATAGATCCTCTTACGCTTCCTGAGGGCAGAAGTCTGCACGGAGTCTCACAAAGCTAACATCAAGGCCTATGAAAAGTTTCATTTCTTCGATAAGCTCTTGGGGGAGAATCCATTTTCTTGACGTCTAATTTCTGGAGACTGCAGGCGGCTGTCCTTTGCTCTTTCTAGTCATGTCTTAGACTTCTGCTTCTGATGTTCCTTTGTTCACTCCAACCCACATGCTTTCGCAATTATAAAGATCCTGGAATGACGAATCACAATGTGAGAATACAGAATCCTCCCTCCCTTCATAAGATCGTTCACTTCATCAGTCAAGTCCCCCATTGCCATGTAAAGGAACTGGACAAGTGCCTCAGACAAGGAAGTACCACCACACCATCTCTGAGACTGTGTCAACACTCCCAAGACCTGGGTTTTTCCCTTCAGTGCCTAGGGCTAGCCCTCTCCAGGTCTATCTACTTCCCACTCTCTTCTTCTATTATTATCTCTTGCTATTTATTCTATTATCATTATTATTACTTAATTGCGTTTTGAGACAGGGTCTTTCTATATAGCCATGGCAATCCTGGAACTATGTAGATCAGGTGAATGTGAAAGTTAGAGATCCACTTGTCTCTGCCTCCCCAGCACTGGGATTCACCACTCCCAGCTCTCCTGCTCCGTCAGGACAACAGAATTTAAGTTTTCGCTAGAGCCATCCTAAATGGCTTCTAGCACTCGGGTCCTTCCCCACTTGGAACTAAAGTCCTGCAGGCCATCTTTACGCAGAGACTTTTGGCTGTCTGTTACAGAGCATAAACATCTCTCTCATCTCAGGGCTGACAACTGATCTGGATGTAAGGGAGATGGAGGCATGAGGATCAAGAGTGTAAGGTCATCCTTGGATCCAGAGCAAATCGGGTGTCAGATTGGGAGACATGAAACCCAGCCACAAATCCCCACAAATTAAATATGAAATTAAAAAAAAAATCTAACTGACCATGTTGGTTAGTTTTATGTCAACACAAGCTTTAGTCACCAGAGAAGAGGGAGCCGCAAAAAAAAAAAAAAATGAACCCCAAAAATAAGCTGCAGGAAAAGCTGGAGGGCATCCCCCCCCCTCTCTCTCTCGTTTTTTTGAAAGAACACGGTTTCTGTGTAGCCTTGGCTGTTCTGGAAGTTTGGAAGTTTGCAAGTTTGCTCTGTAGACCAGGTTGACCTTAAACTCACAAAGATCCACCTGCACCTGCCTCTCGAGTGCTGGGATTAAAGTGCTGTGTCACCACTGCCCCGCCGTAGGGCATTTTTAAAATTAGTGATTGATGGGGGAGGGCCCAGCCCATGGTAGGTGGTACCAACCCTAAGACGCTGGCCCTGGGCTCTACAAGAAAGCAGGCTGAGCAAGTCATGAGGAAGAAGTCAGTAAACAGCAATCTGTGGCCTCTGCATCAGCTTCTAGCTGAGTTCCTGTCCTGACTTCTTTCAGTGATGAACAAAGTAAGCTAAACAAACCTTTTCCTCCTCCTTGCTTTTGGTCATGGTGTTTCATCACAGCAGTAATAGATGGGTCTATACTCCTTGGTGGGAGTTCCCGACTCTCTACTGCCCGGCCATACATTTGCCTATCTGAAAGGTGTGAAATGTTATTCTACGTTAATTACCATGGTTCTGATTAGTAGTGGGGTAATCCATAATAGGCTTGTAAATATTCTACATGCTTTCGTGTTGCGGTAAGATTTATTGGTTTTGTTTTTGTTCTTTGAGACAAGGTTTCATACAGCATAGGCTTGTTTCACACTCATTAAGTAGCTGAGGATGACTTTGAACTCCTGACCCTTCTGCCTTTAAGTCTACCTCCCCAGTGCTGGGGTTACAGGTGCACACTACCACACCTTGTTTATGGAGTGTTGGGGATAGGACCTAGGGCTTCATGCATGCTAGGCATGCAATCTCACAACTGAGTTACATATCTGGCCTTGTGGTATGATACGCAATACGTATTAGTCTCTGCACCTGGTTCCCAAATGAACTCCTGAAACTATGGTAGAAAACGGCTCTAGGAGAATATTAATTCTAATGCTTGGCTTTTGATTTTCATGGTATGGAGTTCTTAAATTCCTTAAACTTTCCTACATAATAAGATCATCTCTTGATCTAATGAAACACCTCTTGGTAGGCTCTAGGATGGTGTCAGTTTGGGAGCTTGCTGCGATCAGAAATAACTAAAGCTGTCAACATCAAAATGGAACCCCTTATGCTAACCTCTACAAAGCAATTGTTTCTTCAACTTTGACATAACTTCAGTTATTAGTCATTGTGGCAGAGGATATTGTTTCAAAATATCTGACTTGACTCTCTTCTTTTCACCTTAAGTCTTCCCCTTGTTCCAAACTCTCTGAACACAGGCATAGTTTACTATGGTACAGATATTACCATACCATTACCTAAGCTCTCTCTTCTGCTTTCACAGATGCCTCTCGCAGTACATAAACACAACAATGAACATAGTGCATGTCTGTGTCCTTGCCTAGAATGCAAGTTCCCTAAGGGAAAGGACTACGGTGCAGCTAATTGGAAGGGATACTTAATGTATTCAATAACCATTTGCTGAGAAATGGATCAGCAAGAGGTGTAGTCTATCACAAATGGTCCTAGGAAAAATTACAGGTGGGCATGAGGTATCCAGAAGCAAAAGTAAACAGGGAAGGAATTCTCTATATTTGGAAGTTTTATATTCTGGATCCCCCTTGATAGTTTATGGCATTTTCAAAAGAGGGAATGTGTATTATAAACACTTACTTTTTACCGTGTGGCCAGCACTGTGTTTTATAGGTACTGCTCAATGGTCTTTCCAACAGCAGTGAAGGGAAAGAATTAACACACATTTCAAAGAGAAAGAACAGCACCAAGAGAGAAAGGTAACAAAGCCAGTAGTGGGGGCCAGCCTGGCAGCATCTCTGAGGCAGGTAGAGAAAACCATGCTCTCAGCCAAGCATCTCCTGCTGAGACACTAAGTGGCTTGTTTGTGCACGAGTCACATTCGTATTATCATTTAGGTGTTAGAGTTTCTAAGAAGAGGGAGAAAGATCGAACACTGAGAATTTTACTCATTGTGTCACCTTGGGGGTAAGTGAATTCTGAGTTTTGTTTATAGTACCTAAGCACAAATCGCAATGCCAGTAATAAAATGAGAGCTTGGAACAAATAAACAGCCGGGGCTGCTGAAAGGCATGTGTTTGTCTCAGGGCAGGGGCTGGATGGAAGCTAAATGTGTTCCTCGGGAGAAACATGTCAATATGAAATCTTTTCACCTACCTTTGATGGATGTGCTAATCTTCTCAGGTCAACACAGGCTCACCCCAGCAATGCACTGTTAATAACTTATTTAAAAAGTAGCTGGCTTCTATAAATGGACTGCACAGTCAATGTTTAGTTTTCCTTCTCACAGATGTAGGTGCTTATCAAATTGGTATTTACCATATGCAGTAAGAGCTCAACTGTGCATTCTGACAACAAAAGAGGCTGCAAAAGTGAACAGATTGGGGAATTACTGTTCCTTGCTATCAATTCTGTTTGACATCCAAGGTCTGGACAGAAAACAAAATAAGAATGTCAGATGGGTGATTTTCACTCTGTTATAGCAGCAGTTGTAGATCAAATCCAGTCCATGGCCTGTATTTTACAAATAAAGTTTTATTGGAACACAGTCATGTCCATTTGTTTATTCAGTATCCATGGCTGTTTTGACGCTGTAAAGTCAGGGTTAGGCAGTTAGGAGAGAGAGCACATGGCCTGCCAAGCCCAGAGCATTGCTCTCAGGCCTTTTAGAGAGTACGTAGGCTGACACCTTGCTGAGTAACAAGTGGCATTTTTCTTACTGTACTCTTGTATCATTTTCAGAGGGATCCAAAGGGCTACAGTCAGTGAAAACATGTGGATTAGAGCCCAGAATGATGGGGTGCACATCTGTAAGCTAGCATTTGGGAAGTGGAAGGAGGATTTAAGAGTTTGAGGCTAACTTGGGTTATATGAGAACTGGTCTCAAAAAAAAAAAAATGACATGTGGCTTAAGGCTTTTGTGACATCCAGGAAGGCTTAAAGAAGAAAATTACAAATGAAAACCATTGTATCTCTAGGCAAAAATGTCCATAAACTGGACTCTATTAGGGAGTTAATCAAGAGCCAGTATAATATATATGATTATCACTTTATGTAAAGGGGACATTTCTTGTGTTGGCAACAGTGTGCCTCCTGCTGACAGAATTCTAAGTGGCTGACAGATCGTATCCACTGTGTTGGTATATAGCCTCTTTCTCTGAAAAATGTCCAGGAGAAATGATGAGAACACATCCAGAGGAGGGAAAGGCGAGGAACTGTGTTCAGGAGGCATTCCCCAAGGTCCCTGTGCCCACGACTCAGAACTTCAGGGGAATGACAGGCCAGTATTTCGGCTGCTTTTTGTCACAGTACTTGTCAAAGCTCATCTGCACAGCAGCCTCCATGGCCAGGATCTTGGGAGCACTGTCCCCATACAAGCGCTTCATCTCAGCTTGACGCCGCTCCCCAGGCTTCTCCGAGGGAGGCTCTGTGGACCGGTGGTGGTTGTAGTACAGCCCATGGTCGGCATTTATATAGTCGTCCAGGCGCTCCGCTTCTAGTTGCTGCTGTCGCCCTGGGGATGGATAAGACCATGGCCATAAAACATGTACACGCAGGAGAGGACCTGAAGAGTACGGCCGCCACTGGCACAACTCCTGTGCAGCCATAACTCACACGCCACCTGTGGCCTCTGAGGTCCTTCTGTTGTCTTTTCCAATGGTAAATTGGAACCCTGCTGGACCACTGAGGTAATCTGCAGATCCTGAGGCAATGACCTACAGATTTTCGTTATCTATTAGTACTCAGGAAGCTCACTGCTCACTTCTTAGGGGCCACTAGCTGCTGACAGGAATGGCAAAATGCCACCAAGAAACTCATCATTCCAATCCACCAATCCTCTGGAGCAGACCTTAAAAATACAAGAGGAAATGAAGACACGTGGCTTTCTCTGGCCATCTGCTGGGTCATGCATGGCAGGCAGTCCTTGTGTGCTTTTATGTAACGTTCCCCCACGCGAAATACTATCCACTGTATAGACGGAGGCAGGCTCAGTCCCTTGGACCCAGAGCTCCCCGATGCAGCTAGTCTGCTTAGCCAGCTGGCTCCTTGGACCGTGTCTCTTCTCAAAGGCTGGGATTACAGGCGGACTGCCACACAATCTGCTATTGCTGGTGCTGAGGTCCCAACTCTGGTCCTCACACTTGTATGACGTGACAAGTGCTTCACACAGAGCCATCAACTCAAGCCAAGAAGTAGTTCTTATGACCAGAAATGAGGTATGTATGTGGGGTGACCCCTCTGCGCCTGCCACATAATGAACCTGCTACATAAGCCATCTGCTTTCCTAGGTGTGGGGTTTCACTTGTCACTCCACAGTTTAGCCCAGCTGAAACCTGCGAGTCTGCCAATTTAGAAAATTCCTGTAACGTAAGCATTTATTCAATTTCTTTCCTCTTTTCTGCTTTTGTTTAAACCATAAGCCCCAATAGTATAATTTTTATTCCTATGTAAATAGCCACATAAAATTGTCAACAAAGCAATGCTGCAGAGGGTAAAATGGAGCCAGCTCACACGGATTTTGCAAGTGATGCTGTCAGAGGGAAATTGATAGCAGAAAGCACATTATCTGTAGCTGCTATTGTTACCAAGAGGAACGCCTGGAGATAAGGAGTCAAGATGGCTGTAGGGGAATAAAACAATGGCATAAATCAGCCTCTCCTAGTATCTGGAAGGGAAGACAGCACTGAGCTAATCAAGTGTGAAGGGAAGACATTTATATAGCTATTCGCCGTCACCCTTGTAAATCTAGTTCTTTATAACCAACACCTTGGAGTTGGCAAGGAGTTTTACAAACTTGGAACCATTATGAAGAATAGATATCGCCAGGCCTGATGGCACAAGCCTTTCAACATGCTAGCCCTCCCAAGGCGGAAGCAGGTGGACAGCTGTGAGTTCCAGACCAGATTGGTCTCCATTGTTAGTCCAGGCCAGTCAGAACTGCAGAAGGAGACCCTGTTGCAGAGATGCTGTTGCAGAGGACCCACATTTCATCCCCGCACCCATGCTGGGCAGCTCACACTTACCTGGAACTCAAGCTTCAAAGGGTCTGATGCTCTGAGAACACCCCCACACATTTGCCACTCACACATACACATATATACATAAATAAATAAAAATGGCAATGTCCACACATTCATTTGACCACTGTTGTCCTAGAACATCTGCAGTTTACGGTCCCATGTGGAAGTAATATATAATAAGGCAAAAGCCTGTGAAACCACAGAAAAGAGACGTATATTGATCTTTACTGGAAGATGCACAAAACTGGCCTAATGCACAAATGAATTGAAGGTCACCAAGTATTTGCTTCAAAACTTGGGTCTTTTTCCCAAGTTGAAATCATTAGCATTGCTGCTCAGTCCTCAGAGGTATGCACATTCTAAACCCCAAACCTGAGTTCTGCTAGAGGAACATGATGGTGAATGAACTGGGCCCCAATTAGCCAGGGGAAATGGCCATTTTACCTCTGACCTCACTTCTGCTGGAAGAACAAAAATTAACAAACTCAATCAGGGAAAAGCACATGACAGCTCTTATTGCAATAGAGATCCCTGTGTTTTAGATATGGGAGCTTGGGTGGAGGCCCAGCCAGGGACTGTCTTTTCCCTGGGCTCACCCCTCTTTTGCTCCCCTCGCCCAGTGCTGGAATCAGTCACCTCTGGTTCTGAAATAACCAGAACTCTGGCAGAACTCTGAAGTAAGCTTAGACTGTCCGGTGAGACAGTGTTTAACAAGCAATGGGATAGTGGCTTAGCCCAGACTTGCAATGTAGCCAAGGTGACTGACTCCAAACTTCTTATCTTGTGGTCTGCACCTCTGAGGAGTGGGATTATAGTAGAATGCCACCACACCTGGTTTTTAGATAGAGCTGAGGATGGAGCTGCAGGCTGTGGGCAGACCAGGCAAGAATGTTACCTACTGAGCAATATCTTAGACTCAAAAATTTAGTTCAAAATCAAACACTCTCTGACCAACAGGCTGTGTACTTACGATCCGTTAGTATCTGAAAATACTATGAAAGTTGTGACCCATGAGGTCAAAAGACCCTTTCACAGGGGTTACCCAAGACCATTGGAAACACAGATATTTACATTACGAATCATAACAGGACCAAAATTGCAGTTATGAAGTACCAACAAAAATAACTGTATGCTTGGCGGTCAGTACAACATTAGGAACTGTATTAAAGGGTTGCAACTTTAGGAAGGTTGAGAACCACTGATTTAGAATACATTGACTTAGAGAACCAAGAACTGTATGATACAATGGGCTTGAAGGCCTCCACCCAGTCCATTTATTAATTATTGCTTTCTTCCTCTCTCCAAAGGAAAGAAAGCATCTTTAACCCTCCACATTTTCTTTGTCAAGGTATAGTGAAGGCTCAACTGAATGATCCAAATGAAGCTGACATTAACATCACACCGGATACACAGCTGAATGGTCGCCTTGCACGGATAACAGAGTGAGTCATGTTAAAACTCAAAACATAGTAGCACTTAATGTCACAGCATTTTTTTTTCTCATAGGGTTGTAATAGTGAGTCTTAATTAACAACATGACTGCACTGAGGGACACCCAGGATATAGTAAAGACTCCCTTTGCACGTGTCTAGGAGTGTTTTTCTAGATGAACAACCAAGGAAGAAAGACTTGTCATGAGCCAGGTGGTGGTGGCGCACACCTTTAATCCCAGTACTCGGGAGGCAGAGAGAGGCAGGTGGATCTCTGTGATTTCGAGGCCAGCCTAGTCTATAAGAGCTAGTTCCAGGACAGGCACCAAAGCTACAGAGAAACCTTGCCTCGGAAAAACCAGGAAAAAAAAAATCTGTCATGAATGTGGGTGGCAACAAGCTGGGTCCCAGAGAGAATAAAAGGATTAGCAGGAGAAAGCCCTGCTAATGTGCTAAGGTGGCTGCTCCCACAAGCCACCTTCAGTTGGTGTTCTGCCTTTTCTCAGTCTCAAAGCCACGATTCCATCCAACTGATCTTGGACTAAAACTTCTGAAACTTTGAGCCCAAATCATCAATTTTCCTTCCTGGTTGACAGGTATTTTGTCACAGCCACGGAAAGTCTGACTAATTTAAGGGTTTTTGGCTGAGGGAATTTACTAACTACAAATCAGAACAGCACTTAAGTTCCATTGCAGTTTCGACACAGCGCTGAAGCAGGCTAAACAGCATGTCCTTACCACCGGAGCATCAAAATGGGAGCTTACTTGAAAAGAGGGCTTTTGCAGACAGTTAAAGAGAATGATGGGATTATACTAGATTAGGGCAGACCCTGAATCTAATGAGAGTGACCTTACATGAGACAGAAAAGGACACAGAGACACACAGGGAAAGCCATGTATACAGATAGCTCTAAGTGAAGGGATGCTGGGAGACACCAGAAGCTGTGGCAAGCAAGGCTTCGGAGCCTTTATAGGAAGGTAGGCCCGAGGGCACCCTGATTTTGGATTTGAAAAGATAAACCTCTCCCATTTAATCATGAAATTTGCTGTAATTTGCTACAACTACCCTATAAAGCAAATACAAGGATTTTCATGTGGGATGCAAATCATTAATCCAATCATTAATATATTTTAAAGGAAAATGTCACTGGACTCCATCTAAGTTTAGGGTCCAGAGTTTTGACATGTTTCTGTCTCAGTCTATGCATCTATAAGAGACTGGAGATGTGGCTCGTGGTTAAGAGTTCAATTGCTCTTGCAGAAGAGCCAGGTTTGGTTCCCAGCACCCATGGCAGGGGACTTACAACTGCCTATAATTCCAGGCTCCTCTGGCATTGTATCAACACTCTTATACCTTCCGGCCCCCCACCCCCACCAATTAAACTTGATTTTAAAAGAGAGATATTACTAATGTAGAATTATAATCCATAATGGGAAAAATAATCACAGGAAGTTACTCAGACTTTAGGGAAATTTTACACAGCAGGAAAACACTCATTAAATATTCCAGATAATTGGCTCAAAGGCAGAACAGTTTGAGACAAAGCACTACAATAATGAGTGTTAAAGAATGTTATTTCTCCTCATTTTTCTAGGATTAACACGTCTTTCTTTATGAGATTTCTCTGCTATGTTGCCAAAGTTAACGATGACAGCATAACCAAGGGACAGCACAAACGTGACTATATCAAGAATGCCTTTCTGGCTCATCAGCAACAGACTCAAAACACAGGTGCCTGCCAAGCACAGTCATCTGATTGGTGTCCTTGTTCTGTGTCCATTGCTCCACATCAAATGTAACCCTGAAGTTAGTGGACAATCATCATTTTAGCTTTTATGAGGAAAGTGCATTTACCCAGCCCCCTTCCACTTTCTCTGACCTTCCCCATCCATCATCTCGATAGCTGCTTTTCTGAACTTCTCAACATGTGTACCAATGAGACGAAGGCATAAGGTGGGATGGTGCATAGTCAGTGTGATTTCACACTTTCATCCCATTACCCAAACCAAAACAGCTCAAGAAACACTCGAGAAGGTGAACCCAAAGAAAATCATATAGTTAT